TTATTTTTTTTACTGTTGGGGGGGCTTTGGGAAATATTAGGGGTCCAAACAGACCCCTGACATTTCCCTTGTAAAATAGAAAAGAAATTGAGGACACCAAATCCTCAATTTCTTTTTCTACAGTCTCAGCACTCAATGAATGGGAAGCTCTCAGTACAGAGGCTTTCTCATTCAAATACTTATCAGCTGTTTCTGAATGGGGAGGAGCCTCTGTACTGAGTGCTTCTCCCCATTGGTGAAATCTTGAATGAACAGGCTGTGATGTAAATCACATGCTGTTCATTCATAACTGGGGACACATAATACTATGTGTCCCGGGTTATTTACAAACACTGGAGTGATCAGACGATCGCTCCGGTGTTTGTCCTTCTCACACGGAGGATCGGTAAATATCAATGATATTTACCGATCCCCGCTCTGCCACGCACAGAGCCGCTGTCATCCTGAAACTGACAGGATGACAGCGGCTCTGATCTCGGTCATCAAGAGGAAACTGGATTGTGCATAGTGGTGCTACTGCCAATCACGAAATGCCCAAAACTAGCCATATGTCCCACCTGTTTCTCAAGAACTGAGGACAGCAGCATTTTGGTTCCCAATATAGAACACGCAGTAAGACAGAGCTACGTTCCATCTGCAAACTATCATGACGTAAAGACCCTCAATGGAAGGAATTAAGAACAAATCACACATGCCAACAGCTTAAAGCTGTAAAACATCACTATATAAAATATGTATAATGAACAGTCTGTGCCCAACAGGACTATGGGTTCATCCAAAAATCCAGAAGAGAACCGCTCAGTCAAATGCTACCACACACATCATGGGACTTGTAGTGCTACAACAGTTTTTTGTAGTTATTAAAAGGAGTTGGCTCCTAATGAAAACCCTGCTGGCTCCTGGACTAGACTTTGGCCCACCATCTGTGCTTAAAAGTAATAATCCCAACATGCCTCTGGGAGTCATACCTGTAACTGTCAGTCTTGCAATACCTTGTGCGACTCAAAGTTCGGAGATGCCCACCCCTGATCTGCAGTGAGGTCTCTCAAGCCCCACTCAAAACCTTCTCGGTCTGCATCACATGTCTGTTCCACAATCTGCACTTTTAGTGCTCAAATATGGGCACAGTAGTTCAGGTGCCATAAAAGAAAAAGTCTGGATCTCGGACCCTGAGAGCCACAGGTTTTGTGTACAGGCCCCCTGTAAGTCAAAGACAGGCTGCAACTGTATGCTGGTACACAGTGCATACAGGTACAGATGTCTACGCGTGTACATCTAAACCTGTACAAATGTCTACACTCACAGCACCATTTACCAACGTTCTGCCTTACCTGGGCTTACAGACAGACTGTACACCCTTGGTTCTCAACTGGTGGGTCGTGACCCCATATTCAGTGGAACAGCAAAAGGTTTCCCAGCACACTCACCAGCCAGCATGCAAAAAACTTGTCTAACTGCTAAGATTAAAAACAGAGGTTTTAGATACACGTCTTCTGCAGAAAATTTGAAAGCCGCGCAGAGGAACCGCTATATAGTGCGGTCCTAACTCTGAACTATGAGAGTCTCCATCTTGGAGCACATGTAGCAAAAGATAAAATTGGGTGCAGCACCATTTACCAACGTCCTTGGATTACAGACAGGCTGTACAGCCTTGGTTCTCAACTGATGTGTCGTGATCCAAAAGTGGGTCGCGACCCCATATTCAGTGGGTCGCGGCATGCCTTCCAGTTTTCTAGGTCAGAGGCTCCCCAGCCTCCCACTAGCTCAGCACTGCCAGTTTTTGCAGCAAGCAGCAATTCAAAATATGCTGCCCGGCGCCGAGTGTCCGCTTAAGGCGGGGGTGGGCTGGGCATATGGCCGCAAGAAAGTGCCATCCATACATGCATTGCTTACAGCTCCCTCACATGTCCTATAGAGGTGCCTAGATCGAAGCGGCATCCCATTCTGGACCCCAGCACCTCTACAGGGTGCGCAAGGGAGCTGTACAAGCAATGCACATATGGAGGGAGCTCCGTCACAGAACAGCAGCCCAACACTGGACCTCAGGCTGAGGATTCACTCCAGTTCTCTTAAAGTAGGGAGACTGGGTGGACCTTACAAATATATATATTTTTTTTAATTAAACATTTTTTGGAGTGTGAGTGCGTGTCAGTGTTTTTGAGGGCCCATTCACACTAGTACAATGTTCGCACCTAATCGCACACATCACATACACGTGTACACAAAAGCACTCATGTGGGTATCCCCGCACAAGCAGACAAATCATTTTAGGGCCATCATCACTCAAGTTTACCTATCTGAATTCTTTGCTGTTTCGCAACCATGCCCGATTTCCTGCCTTGATAGAGTTGGTATTTATTAACGCAATGCAGTCTCATCCAACAATCAGAGATCACACCATGTTTGTATGCAGATAATAAAAACCATAAATGTATATTGGGAACATTTGCCCAGATATTTTAATTATATCTTTTTCATCCCATCTGCCTAATGTGTATGGACAGATTTCATCTTTGTCTAGTTGGTTGGATTATCTGTGTGTGGAAGGGATCAGTGTATGATAATACCCGGGTCATGTCAGCATTTGCCCAGCCAGATCATGTCCCCAGGATAATAACACAGCGATGTCATGTATGTATGGGGAGATGATCAGCAGTCCTGTCTGTGTCCTGGCTTCCTGTGTGCAGTCTGTGCACCTGACACCTTCGGCCATGCTGGGGAATGTTATATTGTGGGACCCCTGGCTGATCGGTGTGTGTATGGAAGCTGCCTATACTGTTATTAGCTCTTACGTTCTGTATGACAAGCTATTCCACCATGCTGTATAATGTAGGAAGCCGGCTTCTCTGTCCCTGCACTCCGTCCGGGCTGGCCGGTCATACAATCCGGGCACGGAAGGACAGGCTGAAAAGCCCTGGACCGATCACGCATACACATTCCGGGCAGTCCACACTGTTCCCGGACACCACACTCAGCCAGTCCACCCCGCCCGATCAGCCATTCATCGAAACCTCAGTGTCCTCCGGTGCCGGGCCTAGCTACCGCACCGGCACTGCAGAACCCTTTGCTACCGACACCGACCGTCCGGTCATCCCCAGGTGAGAGGAACGTGTCCGCCTCACCACCCGCCCGCACCGACCACTCACCATAGATAGGTCGGAGCCTCCTATCGTTAGGGTCCTGCACATGGCCCCGCGCCGCCATGATGACAAGCGCAGAAGCGGAGTACGCATGCGCGGCAGGAAGCGGACGGCGGCGTTAAAGGGACAGCGCAGAGGTGCGGGGTGGGGGGATCTCTGTGTGGGGGGGCGCTTGTCCTACTCCGACCGGTCTAGTTGGATGGTTCTCTGTGTCACATGCACAACCTGGACATTATCTGAGCCATTCATTCACCCAATGAATGAGGCTGTTACATGAATAAAATGAATGACACTGTTACATGAATAAAATACATGTTTGTGTCTTTCATGGAGTCTACAGGGTTTGTCATTGTACAGATGACAATGGTGGCAGATATGGAAGCTGGATAATAAGGACTGGCTGTGAAGAGAGTAATGTATTTTAGTGTTAAGCGTTGTTCCTTTGCGCTGCAGGAACACATAGCAACACACATTAATTGCAATGGTGTGATGCAGTGCCATGGCACCCTTATACACATTGTCAACATACATACATTGCAGGTCCAGTTTCTGGGATGTTGAGGTGTATTGGTAGCACATTCATTTTGTATGGGATGCCTAATGCAATGCACCTCTGCAGAAGAGTGGGAACCTAGCTTTAGGCCCCATTCACACCCGTGTGATATAATGTGTGTTGACAATCAGATTTATGTTCTCTCCTGTCTTCTCTTCAACCCTTCATGGATATGATTGACAATCTACTAAGTCACTGAAGATTGGTGGGTGCTACATAGGCAAAGGGATGGTGCCATTCAATGCACGACAAAGAAGGTTTACAGGCACTCTAAAATCATTGATCAATACGTCTTTATTGACACAAACTCATAATATCACATAATTGCAACGTTTCAGGGCCGCACAGTGCCCACTTTATCAGGCAAAACAGTGTGATGGCAGTGATCCCAAAACGTCAAGATTATGTGATATTATGAGTTTGTGTCAATAAATATGTATTGATCAAAGATTTTGGAGTGCCGGTGACCCCTCTTTGTCTTATAATGCATGTTAGTGCACAACAATAATGTTGCCGTTCATTTCCCCCGGGGGCCTGCTTACACCTGTGCGCTGTGCTGCCAAACATTGGGCAAAATAGTGCTGGTGCCTGTTTTGGTGCATCAGTGTACATTTTGAGTCCTTAGACTTCAATGACAGGGCAGGACAAATGCATTGAATATGCATTTTTGCTCATATTAGCACATAACAGCCCCCCATAGCAAGCTCTATTTGACTTTGATTGGGTCAATAGCCTTAATTCCCATCTTTGCATTATTGCCTGATGTATTTTCCATTGAAATTAATAGTAACACATTAATTCAAATATTAATGCATGTGCGTTATGATTCCTGTTGACATCCAATACAATGTACTGCGTCATGACGCACGTTGGAGTGCTTCCATTATTTTTAATGGAAAAAGCACGAGGGATAAAGATGCAAAGGACTGCATCCAGTCATTTTTTTTTGTTTAGTTTTAAATAGAGTGTAGAAGGGTTCGATCTTCTGTCAATTCTGTTTTTATTGCTGTTTTTGTCCCCATTGGAATGGACCCCCCTCTGATCATTATCACCATGGCAGAAAGTGATATTCAAAAAATTTTAGAGTTGTCACCCCCAACAAGGGGTGAGGAGAAATCCTCCAATGGGGACCCTTCTTCTTGTGTCAACTGTGCAGGAAGAGAATTTCCCCCCTCTTTAGGGAGATTTCCTCTCATTCCCTGTTACTTCATCAGGAAGAGACATCTCCCCAATAGAACGCAATGAAAATAACCGGACAAGGGTTTAAGGGGTTTCTTACTCTATCCAAAACTGAAAAAAAAGGTATTGCCTTTCCATACACTTTGTAATGATTTACTAAAGGACTAGCGCATGCTCACTTTCAAAGTGAATTTTTACTCATCTTAGTGAATGAGGTGAAACAATGTTGAAATTCACTTTGCAAAGAATACCCAACCATGTAGAAAAAAAACCCAGTTTTTTTGCTTGCACCTGATTGGATGATTGAAGTCAGCTCAACTTCATCTCATTCATTAAGCTTTTCTTTCTGTAAAAGGGAATTTTCACAATGACATGAAGCTGTGCTGAATTCAATCATCTGATCATGATCAGATGAGGCTCCAAATTGAGAGCAAAAATTGCAAGCATAAGCAGTATTGGGAACCCAGGATCTCTCTGCAGCGGATGCAACACAAGGTCTGGTAAGTACATTCCAGAGTGGGGGAAATGTCCTGGGGGTTGTATTTGGAGTAGAGTTGACTTTTTGCGTTATTTACTCTTGACCCCTGCACTTTATGCTTTACGCTCTCCTGACACCTCCCCTCTGTGCCTTATACTCTCCTGACCCATGTGTTTTGTACCTTATGCATTTTGACCCCTGCACTCTGTACCTTATGCACTCTGAACTCCAACATTCTGTGCATTGTGCACTTCTGACTCCTGGATGATGCGCATTATGTACTCCTGACCCCTGCTCTCTGTGCATTACATACTCTGGGCCCAAGTGCTCTATGCGTTATGTACTCCTGACTCCTTAACTCTGTGTACTAGAAACTACTGACCCCTGCACGCTGGGCATTACATACTACTGACCCCTGCACTCTGTGCATTTCATATTACTGACCCCTGTACTCTGTGCGTTACATACCACTGACCCCTGCACATCTATGTACCATGCTGTTCATTTCCTATTATGCACTGCCTCATTCCATATGCCATGTTGTGCATTTCTTAGTCTGCACCGCCTCATTCTATATCCATGTTGTACATTCTCTATTCCGTAATGGTATTTACTTTTTCCCACTGATACCAATGATGGGTCCTTTTTTACTCCCACTTTCTCATCAGTTTAGTCAGGTATTTTGTCTATACCATAGCAATGCATTGGTGTAAAGGTGCAGCACTGCAAGCCATTTGCTGCAAAGCCACACCCAGTTTTGGCCACAACCGCTTTATGGTCATATCCCCATGTGTCTGATCATATCCCCATGGATGCTTTACTTGCTGTGTTTGTTTTCTCAGCCCCTTCAAGGTGTCTCTCCTAATTACTTCCAAATGTTGCCAATGCATAACATTAAGCAGAGTGAATGCTTTATAGCCATATTAGATTAAAAAAAAGCTGCTTATTGGAGCTCCTTGTGACATCTTATTGCATAACCAAACATTTCTGTACTTGCACAACCTGTCATGCTAATGAAGTTTCTTAGCCAATAGGGCAGAATAGAGAATGCAGAACATCAGTCTTGCACTGCCAGGGTTTGTGTCATCTTCCTGTACTTATTATCTCCATGACAAATGGTGGCCATGTTTTCCCAGTCTCTAATTCCACCCGGTACATTTTCTTGAAAAAATATGTTTCCGCAAATTGCTTCTGACATATTTCTGGACATTTGCACTGCAGCTGTTGAAAGGCAAAAAAAGGAAATAGAAAAACAGGCTGTTAATATAAATACTAAATACTGGCTGCATGTGTGTTTGTAAAGTGAAAAAAGCCTGGAAAAAAAGAAAATGCCCCAGCCCCCCCCCCCCCCCCCCCCCCTTTCAAATGGAGCCCAGAGCATGTGCCATGCAGCTGTCACATATAGTAGCGGTAGTAATACTGCTACTGTATGTACACTTCCTGTGGGATGTTTAGCCTTGGGGGAACAACCTAATTGTTCAGTTATTCACTGAATGCCATATATCCTTACTTCTGAGTGATGCAGTGACCCCTTTCAAATGGAGCCAAGTGCATGTGCCATGCAGCTGTTACATATAGTAGCGGTAGTAATGCTGCTACTGTATGTACACTTCCTGTCTAATGTTCAGCCTCTGTGAACAGCCTAATTGTTACATAGTATTTGAGGTTGAATAAAGACACATGTCCATCAAGTCCAACCCATCTGTGTATGTGTGTACGGTCCTATTGGTGTGTAGTATGTATAAGCCCTGTGTGTTCTCATTCTTAAGAGTACTTGTACCCCTGTATATTACGGTCCCAATGGAAATCGTCCAATCGCCTCTTGAATGATTCAACACACCCTCAGTCGAAATCACAGTATGTGGCAGCGAGTTCCAGACCTTGATTTATCTAACTGAGAAGAAACCCCTTCGACCCTTGTGCTGACATTTTTTCTCCACCAATTTTAAGTGGTGGCCTCTCGTCCTTGTCATGGAGTTAATTGTAAAAAGTTTGCTGCTAATGTTACTATCCCCGGTAAACATTTTATACATGAAAATCATGTCCCCCCTTAATCTCCTTACTTCCACGGGGAACATGTTTAATTTTAGGAGCCTGTTCTCATAGCTCAGGTCCTCCATCCCCTTTATGAGTTTGGTTGCCCTCCTCTGGACTCTTTCCAGTTCAAGGACATCCCCTCTTCTCGCTGGTGCCCAAAACTGGACCGCGTACTCTAGATGAGGCCGAACCAGTGATCTATAAAGTGGCACAATTACGGACTTGTCCTTACAAAACATTCCCCTCTTAATACAGGACAGGACCCTACTAGCTTTGTTTACCGCAGCCTGACACTGCAAGCTATTATTCAGCCTGTGGTCTACAATGACACCCAGATCTGTTTCCCTTTGGGATTTCTCCAGGGGAGCTCCCATTGGTGCATAATCTGTTTTCTTGTTTTTAACCTCAAAGTGCACAACTCTACATTTATCTACATTAAATCATCTGCAATGTAGTTGCCACTCCCCTATTTTATCTATATCCCCCTGTAATGTTATAGCGTCTGATTCAGTGACTATTCCCCTCCCGATTTTGGTATCATCAGCAAACACTGAAACATGGCTGTTTACCCCCTCCCCAATATCGTTAATGAATAGGTTAAACAGCATGGGGCCCATGCGGCACACCGCTCATGACCCTAGCCCAATCCGAGAAGGTGCCATTTATCCATACTCTTTTTACCCGTTCCTGCAGGCCGGTTTTCTATCCATGGCTTGTGTAGTAAACGTTTATGTGGTACTGTATCAAATGCTTTAGCAAAGTCCAAAAATACCACATCCACCGGCCTCCCTCCATCCAGATCTCTACTTACCTCTTCATAAAAAGTTAGCAGGTTAGTCTGACAAGAACGGTC